AAGCTCTCAAAACCAAAAATTGAAGGTTGATGAATTGAGAACAAATACCCAAAACATAACCTAAAAAAAATGTTTTTACCCCTATGTGTGTTGCTGCCCATGCATTTTCGTCCGGCGAGCAAAACGGCTCACCCGACGCTCAAAAAGGCATTTTTTTCACACTTTTGGTCGCTTCTGGCTCGCCAGTAAATTGAAAATTTTAGCACTTGTTTTGACCATAACTTGATAATCATAACTCCGATTTACGCATGGTTTTGAAACGGCGAATAGCTTATTCAATGCTCTTTATAATAATAACTAAATATCAATCAAATTGATGATTTTTCTCATCTTTGTTTTGAGCCTTATTCTTTGATGAATTGCTAAAAATTGTTTTCTTGAAGTTTAGCCTTTGACCTCTTTTACTCAATGCTCCAATTATGAATGAATACCTATAAAGGAGATGAAAAACTTTCACACGATATAATATTTACACAAAAACTCAATTATTAATTATGTACACCAAAATAAAGTATTTATAAACAAAGTTGGGATTATTCAAACGATATTAACAAAAAGTATTGATAAGTGCAACAAAACTTATACACAAAAATAGCTACAATTTGCACTTATCATACTATCCCTAACTTAAATCATTGTTTGTCCTCAAACAAAGTCAAACAACTTAAAGAAACAAAAGATGATAATCCAAGAATCACGAATCAATATGTTTTGAAAACGGAAAACAAATGTATGGTTCAAATAAAAAATGTACAAGCAAAGTAAACTTACCACTATCCTACAATGACAATATGAGAACGAAACTAATCCTAAGTACAAAAATCATGCTAAACCATCTAAAACAAGACAAGCTCATATCATGAATTACACCTAGCAAAAATTCATCGAGGGATGAAAAACACACAAAGGTGAGGATTTGACACTCATCCAACAATTTTTCAAACAAAAGACTAAATTATGTGTTCATCCAAAAATTCACATTGAACATACAAAAGAAAGAACCACAAAGGCTTTTCAAGGTTGTAATGTGGCTTAGTTGACAAACAAGGGGTAATTCTTAAAGCTAATCGAAATAAAAACTTGCCTAAACCTAATGGAGTGATCAACTCACAAAGTTCAAACACAAAATTTCAATCAAACTTCTTCTTTCAATCCAAGTACAGCAAACACAAAACTTATTAGCCCAATTATTCTTTGATACTCTTTTTGTTTTTCTTTTTCAAAACTTTTTTATCTTTTTTCTTTATTTTTATTTTCTTTCTCTTTTTTATTTTCTTTTTCTTTTTCTCAACTGCATAGCAACCAACAAATAAATAAGTAAACATTGTTCTCTTTAACTTGAATTCGACCAACATCAATGTATGAATACTCCCTACTTTTTAAGGCAGGGTAAAAATTTATACAACAACACAAGGTTGAGGGTTCAAGAAACAAAAGAATCAAAATCCATACAAAAAGGAGAACTAAATACTCATAGACAAGCATAAAATTCAAAAGCACATGGACATTAACAAAAAGGCTCTAAGGGGTTAACAAATACTTCACACTCACAGGGTGAATTGACTATTTGGTTATGTAGTTATGCTAAAAATGAAACAAAATATCTTGATGATGTTCATGCTTTCATACAATCAATACAAATACAAGATTAACATAATAAAAATCAGCTAAAATAAAAATGTTGGCCTCCAACATATATGAACAATGGAAAGCTTCCTCACATTTGGGGGTAAAAAGAAACTAAAGTGATTCAATCAATAAGCAAGTAATGCAAAAGAATGAATGACATGGTAATTATACAAATTATAAAATTTTTAAAAATGTTATGCTATAGAAAACGATAAACGAGTATCTTGAATGATACAACCTTTGAAAACTATCATTACCATACATCTGCAAGTTGAAACGATCAAACTCAGAAAATCACCAAATTTTCTCAAGCTACTTAAAACAAGCACTTGGAGAAACACAAAATAACACATTAAAATACTTATTATAAACATACTAAAAGAATGAGTGAAATGGATAAACAAGTTAAAAAATAAAGATTTGAGAATTTTAAAACTGGTCCAATTTCAATTTGTTTAGCCAACATTCACCATACTACCTAAACAAATACAATGAAAACAATAAAACATGCTTGTTTTACGTCATTAGCTCAATCCCTTTATTTACATACACACTTTTCCAAGTTGCCTCTATATACTGTTTGTGCTCGCCGACGACGAAATATAACCAAACACTTAGCAAACGCGAAGAGAAACAAACATATACACTAAATTTACAAGTATATAAAATATGTAAATTTCACAAGTTTGGTAAACATAAACAAATAAATTCACAAGTATACATATACAAGTTCCTGTATAATTTTTATACAACATATACATTATTTCCAAAACTCAAAAACAAAGAAATGATCGCCACGATCCAATAAAAACACCAATCTCCTGCAACGACGTCATTTTGCTGAAGTGGTAAAGCAGCAAGCAAAAGTAAGTAAGTATTTAGTTTTATCATATCGTCTCCACGAGGATTAGTGCTACTGAATTACTGTTCGATAATTTCTCCCGTTTATGAGTTTGGAGTTGAATTGAGTTGGTTTGTATAAAAGGTAAATACAGAAGTTAAAGTTATTAACAGAAAAAGAATTCATTCTTCTGATAGTAGAGAACTTGCGGGTTTGCATTTCATCTACTCTATCATGTATCTCTCACACAGAGGTTATCTCTAACACATAGTAAGACAACGATCTTATTACTCGCGTCGGCGATCTTTCAGCCCAACACGGAAGCATTAAGCTCTGATACCCAAATGAATATTAAGCCTTAATCTATCTCTAGAATTAAAACCTAATAGATGTTCATCTAAATCCGGATTCAAACTGTCCATTTCTGCAATAACCCAAACCCAAATAAAGAAAGCAATAATCAATATCGATTTTTAAAATGAGTTTCATACAACACCTGAGCAATAAATATACATATAATCAAGGTAAAGTTACATACAAACTCACAACAAATGGAAACTACAAAGGGAAGAGAGAAGAGGAACCAAAATCTCTCGCGGTGTCAATCACGATCCAAGAATCATCCACCCCCAATCATCGAGTTGCAACCTCCATTGATGTTTTTCTAAGCTCTTAAGACCAAAAATTGAAGGTTGATAAATTGGGAAAAAATATCCAAAACATAACCTAAAGATATGTGTTTTTACCCTTAAATATGTGTTTCTGCCTAGGAATTTTCGCCCGGCGAGCAAAACGGCTCCTCCGACGCTCAAAAATGCATTTTTTTCACGCTTCTAGTCGCCTCTGGCTCGCCTGACGAGCTCGGAGCGAGCCTGACAGGAAATTGAAAAATTCAGCACTTGTTTCGGCCATAACTTGAGAACCGTAACTCCGATTTACGCAAGGTTTGAAACGTTGGAAAGCTTATTCAATGCTCTTTCTAACAACGACTAAATATAAACCAAATTTATGATTTTTTTCATCTTTGTTTTGAGCCTTATTATTTGATGAATTGCTAAAAAAACATTCTTGAAGCGTAGCCTTTAGCCTTTATTATTCAATGCTCCAATTTTGAATGAAAAACCATCAAAGATACAATATTTACACAAAAACTCAATTATTCTATTATGTACACCAAATAAACGTATTTACAAACAAAACTAAGATTATTCAAACGATATTAACAAAAAGTATCGTTAAATACAACAAAACTTATAAACAAAAATATCAACAATTTGCACTTATCAGAATGGAAAAATTGTTGATAGCCCGTCTGTCAGACTAAAATGTATCACTATAAACCAAAATTTCTTGATTTCCTTAATGCTTATCGATAAGTTTCTTAATTGTATTTGACTTTATTTATGAATAGAACAGTTTTATACCATATGCTCAATTCATGATTTTATTCATACTTTTAAAATTTGTTCAAGCAATACACATAATTGATGTTTGTTGGTGTCATTTCAGTGTAGTGGATGCTTTATCATCCAATACATGCTATTTTTTTAAAAGTTCTTATTGACCTTCGATGTCATTTCTTGCGATTTTCTTAGAGTTTTGCCTATCAAAAATCTGGTCAATTATTGTATGCAAAAGACATAGCAATTCCAAAAAGACCTTGTTCATGGATGTCTAATAATACATGAGTGCAAATACAAAGTTATGGGAAAGAAGAACTTTTTTTGAAAAGCATAAGGTGTTACACTTCAACAAAACTTATTCTGCCACTTTTTGGAAAGCATAAGGTGTTACACTTCAACAAAATTGATACATGTCTAGCTTATAACATTCTACCACTTATTACATGTCTAGATAATAACCTTTAGTTTTGAACAAATATTTCATTTTTGAAGAATAATATTGAATCTACTTGCTCATTTCAACCATGTAAATTCAATAGATGTTATGATTTCCCTCTAGCTTTAGTTTTGTTGTTGTTATTTTAGTCCGGTATTAAAGGTGAATAGATATGGAATGAAGGAGGTCAATTTGAACTTAATTAAATATTTGAGTTGCTTGTTACATGTTCACGATTTCTTCATGGCCAAGTTTGAATTCCATTGATTATCATCATACATCATCATTTTCATTACCTCAATGTTAAACTACACCATGACATTACAACACCATACAATTAGCATCATGATCATCATGTACTTTAAGCCATCATCATCAAATAAAAATACCAAAAAAAAACAAGGAAAGTATGAATTTGAATTTACATTCATTCTTTACACCATCATCACCATTACAACAATAATGAAAAATTAAGAGAAAAAAGTTAAAACAAATTTGCATTACATTTCATGTTTGTTACGAATTACATGCCATGGTTCACACACACTTCATTCAAATCAAATCAACCAAAATGAATTCAAACTGAAATGAAACTAACAAGCTGAAATAAATTTAATTGATAACTCATAACTCTCTTCCATAGTTGTTAGAGGTTATCTTTGAAGCTCTAATCAAGCTTGAGCTTAAACCTTCATACTAGCACCAACACATAGCAACACGCGGAGAAATTCAGAGAGAGTAGTAGTAGTAGTAGAAGAAGAAGGGAAGGAAGTAGAAAAGAAATAGTCACGTTACCTAGAGTGTTAAAACTAGTAGATTGACCCGATTGTGGTACTTCCATAGCTTGCTTTATTGTTTTTGGATTTTCTTTATGTTGATGTATGCTTGAATCCCCTTCCATTTTTTGGATTTGGCTTTCTTGTACTTTAATTTGGCCGAATTGGTGATTTTGGGGTTTTATGGTTCTTGAGGGGTGAGGTTTGATTTTGCATGATTTTGTGTTTTAGTGTAGTTTTTGAAGTTTGATGCATGTTTAGGGAAAGAAAATATACTGGGTTTATGTTTATGATCTTTGGATTTGGCACTATTTGGTGAATTATGGGTAGGGTGTTCAAGAACATTCATGTGTTCTTGAGCATATTCATCGTGGTCTTGGTTAAAAGGACTTGTTTGATCCGAAAATGAAAAGAAGAAAAAAAGTTGGGTGTTAAGAGAGAGAGAGATATCAGAGTGAAAAGAGATAAAATTCTCTCACAAATGAGATAGTTTAGTGGAGACTCCACTTAAATACTCTCTCCTCCCGCTCTTTCTCCACTATCATTCCCATTTTTCTCCGTAGGATCATTGAATTGTTTCCCATTTGTCAGGGTGACAACATTTAAATGACCTTTTGGATTTTGTCTGGGATGTCTTGGAAATATTCGAGGAGGTTTTAAATATGAAGCTTGTTTTTGTGAAACTTAAGAAAATTTGAGTCTTCATAATGTGGGTGTGTATTTAATCTACCTTAGATGCTAGTTGCTTAATGATTTCTGATGAGAGTTTGTTATTACATGATTTTTATGAGTATTTGCAATGAATTCGATGGAATTTGAGTTAAAGATGAGATAAATATGAAAAAGTGTGAAGAAAATGAAGAAGTTGAAGAAACCAAGCAAAGCCAAGAAATCGTGAAGAAATTATGATGAAACGAGCATTTTTCAGCACAATTTACATTTTAACGTCTGCCCAGTAAAATGATCATATCTAGAGAACCGTAGCTCATTTTGAGACATGACTTTTTGGAGAATGAAACTAAAAAATATCTAACTTATGGAATTATCTCGTGTACAATGAGCAGTATTGCACGCGCGATGCAACATGTGTAGTGTCGTGTGCATGATGGACAATAACGTGCGCGCGATGGATCTATTTTCTAGGCTTCTCTGACGTGTTTTGAATGCTTTAAAAAGGGAAATTTGGTACCTTTTTAGGGGTTCTGCGATTTTACATTGCAAGTGTCGATTTACAACACCATAAGACATATTTAGCATGCATTTGGAGGCCATTTCTTTAAGGGATCTTTTATGCAAACCTCTTATTTTTATTTGGTATTGTAATTTTTATAATGAGTAGCTAATTCTCTTTAGGTTAAATTTTGTTTGATGAACCTATTTTAATATTTTTGGGATATATGTTTGATTTGTTATTACATGAATAATTTGAGTTATAATTCTATTCAATTATACCTTGTTCTTAATGTTTTTTTATGTGAGATACTCTTTTAATTTGATTTTGGGCGCATATGAAATACTGACCATTAGTCTATGAATTGGACCAAGGGCAATTGTTGTGCTTATAACGATTGAATAAGAATATGAGACCTCGAGTAGTGGCTTAGGAATTAACGTTCTAATGCATCGCCTAATCTTGCTTACACTGGTGGACTAGGGATAGGAAACTTCGGGTATAGATTAGTGAGATATTCACCAAGGGATTGAGTATAGTGGTTTTGTTAATTCGTCGTGGAATTATAGAAACGATATCATTTATGCAATACATCAAACATCACCAGTAGAGAAATATGGAATTATATACAAAATCTAACCGCTTTCATATTATTGATAGAACACTTTATTTTCTTTTGGCATTAAAACTTGAACCCTCCCATTTAGTATTTTCTCAACATTGCATAATTTTTGTCTTGTTAAATAGCAGTTCATGTGGATTCAATCTTTTTATTACTTTGACACTATCGGTACACTTGCAGAGAAGTCATCAAGTTTTTGGCACCATCGCTGGTTATGTGTGCTGTGATTTTTGAATTCATCATTTTGTTTAGATTGGGAAATCATAAAATTTTCCATCATGATTTCAAGATTGTACTTTCTAGGAGGGTTACAACTCTTTCATCCTTGGAAACCTGAAGGTCCAACTACTTGTTAGGGATAGGTGTTTTGTAGGAAAATTTGGTGGTCTCTCCACCCTGAGTTATATGTGTTAAAATAAGGATTTCCTCTCTAGGAGTTCTTAATCTAATTAACATCCTGTAAGTTGGACTCTCCATTAAAAATCATGTTACAATCATTACCGGTGTGACCAATGACCCCACATATTTTGCAAATGGAACAACATGAATGTCAACATTTATATTCATTTTATTAAATTTCTGAAATAAAGCATCAACATTAGCAAAAAGGTGATCTAAAGCATCAACTCATACATACCCTCTTTTGAGGGGGCATAATGTTCAATGAAGTTTATATCACTTCCCCATTGGTAGTGATTGTGTGCCATCTCTTCAATTAAAGCTTTGGCTAACTCTATATTTTTGTTTGTTAATTCTCCTCCCGCAGTTGCATCAACTGTCACCTTTATGGTGTACATAAGACTGTTGTAGAATATATGAGCAATCCACCATTTTTTCAACCCCATGATGATGGAAAGTCCTTTAAATTTCCTTAAATTGTTCTTATGCTTCATAGAGATTTTCTTCGTCCTTATGGGTAAAACTTGTAATTCGGTTCCTTAACTAGGTTGTTTTACTAGGAGGAAAATATTTAGCTAGTGAGGAAATTTTCAGTTGATCGCATATCATAATGGAATTCAAGGGTATAGAATGTAACTAAGCTCTAACCATATCCCTTAATGAAAAAGGAAAAATTCAAATCCTAATGGCATTACTAGTGACTCCACTAAACTTCAGGGTGTCATAATATTCAAGGAATATTGACATGTAATGGTTCGGGTCACGTTTTGGTGAACCAGAAAATTGGTTTTGTTGTACCATAGATAATATAGTTGGTTTCAAGTTAAAGTTGTTAGCATTCATGGTAGGACACATAACACTAGAATTTGGTTCCATATTGTTAGGGCATACTCTTTTAAAGTGAGATTTTAGCCATCGCTTGTTCTCTACGTCTCCTATGAAAATATCTTTCTATGTTAGCGATTAGTTCAACTAGGTCCCCAAGACTGCAGACTCTTCACATTCAACCAAGAATAAGAAAATTTGGTACAAAATAAATCACAATTTTTTTAGTCTTATCGATGTAAAATAAAAACTAATCTATATCAAAAATCGTCTCTGACAACAGTGATAAAATTTCGATACACAAGTGTATAGTCTATATCCCATAGTAAAATTATAGTTCCACTGGGACTAATATGATTACTAGTTATTTTCTTTTTATTTGATTAGTTAAAAAGGAGCAAATTTATTTTGGGTTAGTTATTTTAAATGTTTATAATTTTAATAAAAATTAGTCCTAGGATTATGATTTTTTATCTAGAACAGACTATGTAAAACCTCATTTGTACTCTGTTCACAAGTATAAGCGTATCAAAACTAAAATCTATGTATGTGTTAATCCTATGGAATCATCCCTATTTATATTGAAATTGATCATGCTTCATTTATTCCCTAATAATCACTAATAAGTGGGTTTAATACATAATAAAACAGAGGAATATGGAAAGTTCGTAGCATGCAAGAGAAAATGGAACAAAGAAAATTGAAACGAAACAAATGTCTAGAAGGGCTATGACCATAACAGTCATTACAGATAAACTGTAGTTTCTTCTATCTTGGACATTTCTCCCTCAATTGATGATTTGGTGTGATGATTATGGTTACACATGTAGTGGTCATTACATGGTCATTATGGACAAGCCGTGTGGATCTATTTGCTTGCAGTATAAAGTTGATAATCTTGGAAAAGACCATTTCTAAAGTTTTGATGAAGACAATACCAATGACTCTTGAAGTCGGTGGTAATGGTTTTCCAACACTCTGGTGAAGGTTACCAAACTTAAGTATGACCCAAGAGTCATCTGATAGGAGACTCAAGAATCTATTGAAGTGCTTATATGATCAATGCATCTGGACAAGAATCTTAAAGGCCTCAGAACTGTGAAAGAGAGAAAGTGTGAAAACTCGTCTGGTCGTGTTTGTCTGAGTGACCCGAGTTTTGTAAAAGTAGGGAAGTAACTCATAAGACATTAAGGTAACTCACACACACCCCTAAAAATACTTTTAAATCTCTTTTAAATCCTAAAATTTTTTTCAAGGCCGAGCCAAGTAATTAGAAAACTGTCTACTCTCTTTTAAATTCTTTTTTAAACTACCCAGTCGATTGGAGTCTTAAGCCAGTTGATTGGGAAATATTTTTAAATTTTCCAATTGATTACGACTTGCCAATCAGTTGGATACGACCTAATCCATTAATTAATTGATTAGGATATCATATTAATGAGTTGTAACGGATCTCTATCCAATCTTCCATGTGTTTACGCTTAAATTTGGTAAACAACCGCTAGTCTTCCAAATTAAACACTTTGGTAACTTGCAGGATCGACTAGATTGATCCTAGGACACGTGTCTAAGTTCTTAAGTTTGAATTAGTAAAAAAGTTTAAGTTTAACATTATTCTATTGATAACAATATAAATATTGAAGATACAATTTACAGTAAGTTCGAATAAGAAAGTTTTGAATGAATAATGTAAGGGCTTCGACTGAAAATGTAAAGAAAACATAAAGGAAATATAGGGTAAATGTAAAAGTTCCAATTGGAAAGAGTTCTGATTAAAAAGTAAGAGAAATACTGGGAATAGTAAAAGACTTGGTATTTGATAAAAATAAGATAAATCGAAAAGAACAATAATGGTGTTTTATACGTACATTTCCTGTAACTCTTTTCTCTAACACTTGGTACTTTGAGTATAATGAGTATTTTGTACAAAACGAACACCCTATTAAGACCCCTATTTATACTATTTCGACCCTAACGGTCTTTCTATAATAGAGTACCACGTTCAAAAATTGCATGTCTTTCGAACCTAATAAACTTCCACGCGTCTCTTTGGAGAAGATCAAACTTTCGAATTTAAAATCTCTTCCTTTTTGAAGCTCCAAATCAAA